CTGACCGAGCACTGGGACAGGCTGCCCAGAGAGGTTGTGGAATCTCCTTCTCTGGAGATGGTCCAAACCCGCCTGGACACCATCCTGTGCAACCTGCTCTGGGTGATCCTGCTTTAGCAGGGGGGTTGGACTAGATGATCTCCAGAGGTCCCTTCCAACCTCTACCATTCTGTGATTCTGTGACTTCCATGTTTCCAGGAAAGCAGGTGACACACTATTGTCTAGTATTCATACACATGCCTGTTGCTCAACGTTAGGAGCAACGTCCTCTATATAACGCATCCTCATGGGTGAAACTTCAGTGAAAAATGCAGGTATGGATGGAAGTAGCACAAAAATGCTATTACTTGGAAAAAAGGCTGAACCTGAGACCAAACTTAAAAATAAGAAACCAGTTTGTGTAGAAAGGCTTTTTATTTTGAAAAACTTTTTTTTTTCAAATTTTTGAAATACAGTGTAAAGTACAACATAGAATTATGTCTGCAGTCAGCTTCTGCATGTCATACCAGTTATTTACATGTAGATATATACAGAGTGCAGATAATTATTGAAACCACACTACAAAATAAACAGAGAGTTCAATAAGATAATTTAGTAGGACTTTATTAAATATATATATAGTTATTGATTGTATATACTTTCCTATTAAAATACCATATAGTATCTAAAGTAATCCCTATAAACTCTAATACCTCCAAAACTGTCATAAATAGGATTGAAAATTGTGCATGTGCCCTGTTCAGCTGCTTTGCCCTTTGCTGTAACAAACTCTTGTAGTGCTGAGATCATGGTGCCATCTTTAGTGCCAGAACTTTAATGACAATTCCCAATAAAACACCTGCAAAAAGCGCTGATGCAGAATAGCTTTCAGTTGAGACACCCAAGGGTTGAAGCAGCATTCCCTATACTCAAAATAACAAGGATAATCCAATGGCTTATTAAATACTGCCACACAGAGGGCAAGAAAAACAATGCTATGATCTTCAGTGACTGAATTACAACATTGAATTAGTAGCTGTTTGGATACCAAGAACCTTATTAAACAAAACAAAGCAAACTCCCAAAGCTCATGCAAAATCTTATGCAAAAAAAGAGACCTCTCAACTTCTTCTGAAACAGCCTGATCAACAGTCTGACTTTTGCACAAGCCATAACTGGAAGGGTCACAGCAGCAGCAGCTGTCAAGGCTGTGTGACCACAAAGAACAGGATTGAACTTGGCTGATAGCTCCATCTCTGGTAATTGAATGATTCCCATAGGGTACTCTGCTGAAAGAATGGATAATGCTAAGCCGTATTATATCTTACCCCATTAACAGAATATTCCGTTTACTTTCTGGGGGCTTCTGGCCAGCAAACCCTCACTATAAATTGCCAAAGGTCTGTCTTGGACTTCACTAGAGCTTTGAGAGTTTCCATCAGTGGAGAAGATCCACCCCAGTCTGAAGGATGTGCTCCCCTGCTGGGATTTCTCTTCTTGCTGCTCAAACCAAACTGGCACAAACTGCTGCCTTAGGAAAAGAAGTATGAAGAACAATATGCTTTTTAGTTTCATTCTCTATTCTGATGCAATCTTATTAAGTAGAAAATAGACTAGTGGAGTAATGTAACAAAAAAAATCCAATTACTGCCATATAATGCTTTTTTGTTGTTGGAATTATTGTTCTGAACTGATGAATTTTGCAACTTTTCCTCTCCTAACATGTCTTTCCTAAAGGCACATTACAATTCAATCCAATTACAGGCAAAAATAGAGATTAGCACCAGAAAATATATAAAAGGAAAATAAGTTACTATTACTATCATAGACTAGAGCTCATCAGCAAATCTGTGCATCATTTTTTCCAGAAATAGTTGAACAATGAACTTTATAGATTAGTTAGTTAGGAACATAAGTAATAGCTATGGTTTAATTTAAGAGTTTTGTTACATAGAAATCTAAATGCCAAAATATGGCAAGGACATCTTAATACTGAACTCATAGGAATTACACAAAAAATATTTTTTCATCTTTATCATCATTAATAAAAGTGTGAATATAAAATATTAATATACTTTACATATTTATTATACAATATATCAGTCCTTCACACTATTAATTTGATTCACGTTGTGCTGCAACATGTATCTAAAGGTTTAACAAAGAAAAAACATGGATAATTACATAAGTTGTGGGTACAGACATTATTTCCACAAGACAAACAGCAATCACAACGTGTCATCATCTACCTTGAGTTTTACAGTGATATTTGGAAAAAAACAGCTGCATCCTTTAGGAAGGATAATAATAATTAAAAAAAAAATTGCGCAACCTTTGCTTGTAGAGTGATTCTGACTTTCATAAAAAACAGTAAGTCAATACTATGAACTAATTTAGTTCAACTTGCCTAATTTTCTGGTAAGGCACTATCAAGATATTATATCTTCATTTAAATGTTATATGGGTTTCTGATCCTTTGCAATTATCAAAAGGAATTTTTGGTCAGGCCTGAGAGTATCATCATTAGACAAGTTTTGGTGCTGCCCTCTCCCCCATTTCAGTCTTTGAACACCTAGTTACTCAACTTTCCAGTTCGTTGTACAGCTTCTTGTAGAGATAAACTCCCTCCTGGAAAGTCAGGGAAGAGCTGGGGCATCCACAACCCAGCAGTGAGGTTATACAGAAAGTGCTTGTTATGTACCGCAGGAGAGAGGAACAGAAAAAATATAAAATATTTAAAAAAATGAAAAGCCCTACTCATCCCACTGAGTGGTTAACTGTAATTAAGAATGGGCATAACCTTTTCCAGATGGAAATGCCATTTTAAAGCTATGCTAGTTTGAAATTATTTATGCAATCATCATGGCTGGTTCAGAAGAAGGGCCTGAAAAAGTGCAGAGTCTTACAGAGGAAAATACAGATTTGTTTTGTGAGCAGCAGAATAAATGATATCCAGTTTCTTATGAAGTTGTCTTCTGCAATTCAATTTTGTGTCTAATGTGAGATGAATGCACGGGAATAGACAGAACACCTTTCCTCCACAGGGATTCCTCCAGGTCTCTCTACAACCTTTCCCTCAGCACTTACAGACTCTACTTACTTCATCTGTAATGGAATTTTGAATTTTTACAAAATTTTTAACGAACTTGGCATCTTTGAGTCCTCTAGCTTGCACACAGATCAGCTGGTTTCAAAACACAGTATTGGAGAATACCCAGACATATACACAGGCTATGAGATTACCTAAGGTTAGCTTTCCCCCCCCGCCACCTTCTTTTTAAATCAGGCTAAAGCAAAGCAAATTAGAGCGAGCATTTTCTATTTCACCGTCCTCAAGAATTTCACAACAATTAAATTCCTCCTGAGAGGTATAAGAGGTCATCAAAGGATGTTCAACAAAGGGGTGTTTGCCACTGACCCCAGTGCAACAGACAGAAGAAGTGGTATTTTTTTTCCCCAGACCACTGTATTTCTCTGCCTGCGTGACCTCTGCTGGACCTCCAGCCTCTGCTCCAAGCTCTGCCTCCCTTGCTGCTCCTTTTTGCCTGCAGCAGCACTTCTCCTGGCAAGGTCACCAGGGGTGAGCCTTCTGACAGCCTGCAATTTGGGGATTGTGAAATAAGCAAAACACAACCAAACCCATTGATCTTCTCTGGGCAGTGGCACTTTCAGGCATAGCTTACACTAAGAAAACTTGGCTTCCCTTAAAAATAAGAAATTCATTGACTTAATGAAACTGTTTTAGAGTGAAGAAAGAATGCAGATCAGTCACCAATTCAACGGGTCTGTCCTCAACTGCCTGCAGTCATCCTTACCCAGACTCCCCCGCTGAAAAGCCAGACCATTTTTGGGAGGATGCTCTTACAGCCTCTCTCCTTCCCTGAGCACCACTGGATACTTTAATAATGAGGAGAAGGATCCTGCAGGCTTTTGCCACCAGCCTGAATTCCAACGCAGAATTGCTCTGCAGAAATCATGCACTATATACAAGTAAAGAAAGTTCTGATGTGCTGCTTTATGTTGGCAATAAATCTTATTTTCTAAATTAAACAAGAAAAAGGCTATGGAAGAAAAAAAGAAAGAAGCAATTAAAAGATTAGTGATGTTTTCAGTTTTAGAACTGAAGTTCTTCCTTAAACTTTCTGGAAGCAGTATGCATCTTAGAAATCAACAGAAGATTTATATATTGATTTCTGTTACTGAAGAAAGCCTTGATAGGTCTATGAAACAGTAAATTCTTTCTGTAGCACTAATGCTGAAGAATTAATATTATGGTGCTTAAGTATCTTGGTTTTCAATCGGGCGTGATAAGTAGCCAAGCAAGCAGTGCATGTTTTCCCTCAAGGTGTGCAAGAAAGAAGCTCAGATTTAGAAAGCTGCTTATGGTTTTGGGGTTTGGGTTTGTTGGGTTTTTTCAGTCCTACTAGGAGCCATTAATGGGTCTTTACAAAACCTTTGAAAAATAAGGCTTTTTTATTCTGGGAAAAGGGGAGAAATATTTATCAAATAGTTTAGCAGAAGTCAGGAGAAATAATACTAAATACTTTTGTTGCTACATGGAGCTTTGAGCATTCATAGCTTATAAAATTAGCTACTTCACAGGCCATTTGTCTTATTTGCAATGGAAAAACTTGGGAAAGGACTCAGTTACAATTTATATCAGGTTTCAAAACATACTGCTGTTTTTCACTTCTCACTTCACATGACTACCAATTATCCCAGATTCAGCATCTCCTTGTTTTCTACAGATTTTGTTCTGAGATACACTGAGGATATCTTCCAGATGATGGGTGTCATAAAAATAAAAGTTGTTAATATTGTTTATACTGATACAGAAAGGAGGAAATAAGAAATATTTAAATGAAACATTCATTAAACATATCACATTTTGAATGAGCACTTACTGCTCAGGCAGTGTATAAACTGATTTTATTATCAGTTGCATAAATTCTATACCATATTTTAATCTCAATGACTAACAGAAGTTCAAACTTCTGACTTCTGGAAAACTCATTTCTTATTTGAAATGATTAGGACTAATTTTAGAATCAAGTTTTCTAAGGGAGAATTCAGCATTACTTACACTATGAAAAAAATACATTTTTCCATATTAAAAAATATAGATTGCAAGAAACATCAGAGTGCATTGCCTCTAAATTTCACACTTCTGTGAGCAACATCCTAGGACCTGAAGGTCTGCAGCTAAATGGCAACTTTTTTGATTTTATTGCTCTAGTGTTCCTTACCCATAAAAGAAGAACAGAACAACCTTTAGCAAACAATGGAAGTTATTTAAACAGAGTACCGTCTTCAGTACAGAAACTGTTAACTGTTTCATTACATTCTGTTCCGTTGATAGGGAGCTGTGCAACCTGCAGCTGCAGTATCTGAAGGAAAACTACCACTCAGCTAAGGGGCTGATCCCATATCTGTGTCAGATAAAAATCACAGTGCTTATTATTTGTTACCATGGATACCATGAAGATATTGCTGTCCACTAAAGATTACTAGAGAAAGACAACATAATTCTCCGGAACGAGTCCTGTTTTGCCTTCGTATGTTGCTTTTAACCAGCCTGGTTCCACTGATGGATACACTGCAAAAAATCCAGCCACACAAACAAAACATATTTACAATAAATTAACACTGTTAAAAGATCCTGTATATGGTTCATATATTTATTTAGACAATATTGATTCAAAAGTAATTGAAAAATCAGGGCAAAAACTGTGAGCTGAAAATGGAATTATGCTCTCTTTATCTTGTGGATAATCAGTTCAGTTGTTTATATTTTTATTATGTAAAAAGAGAATGCAAAACTTATCTTACCATTGGAAAATATTGCCCCCTGTGGGAAAGACAGCTCATGACTATGCTCAGCCTTACAGGAATACATGGCTTTTGCTTGTCTGAAAGAAAAAAAAAAAACGGGCTTACAATAAACAAAATAACAAGCAAAAACATAAAGAAATGAAATTAAAACCTGGAAAGTGTAGGAATAATCAGTTGCACAAATATAGGATAGCAATGACTAGTTACACAGCAGTTCAGAGGAGCAAAATTATAACAGATAATAGCTCCAAGCTTACTGCAGTTAACAAGCATGTTATTCCACAAAAGAGACCAACAGCCTAGTTAGAGATTTAAACAGGAATACAATTTATAACTTTTAAAATGATTCCTTCATTCTAGTTGAAGCTGTCACTCAAATGAGTAGTGGACTGAGCTACACTGCTTGAAGCAAGTGATGGACTGCCTGGAGACAATTCAGAAGTGATCATTAAAGGTCTAAAAACATGACTTGTGAGAAAATATAAATTAGGTGTCTGGGGTGAGTTTCAGCTTCAGCCACGTAAATTTAGATGTCTATAAGCAGACTACATGCCAAGCTCAGCTGACCCTCCAGGCCTGGCTTCTGCTAGAGTTGACATCTACTTGAGAGTGCAACAAATAGCTTGTCAGGTTCCACTGCCTGTAGTGAAACCTTCAACGAAATGCTTCTTTAAATAATACCTGACATGAAGATACCTAAATGTAGACAGGTAAGTTTATGTCTCTTAATCTGTAGCTGAAAAACACTTCTATTGGTTAGAATAGTGAAGCACTGGAACTGCAAAGAATTGGAGAATCCCTGAATAAAAGAATTCCCATTACTAAAAGTTCATTAAAAAGAACAAATTAAAAAAACCCAAAATACCCAAAAATCAAAAAGCAAAAAACCCACAGATACCTGTAAAAGAACTAGTTAGATATATCATGATTCTGTCCCAGAGCAGGAGGACAACGAGTGCACCCTCAGCAAGTTTGCCGATGACACCAAGCTGTGTGGTGCAGTCGAAATGTTGGAAGGGATGCCATCCAGAGGGACCACCTGGGCCCATGCGAACTGCATGAAGTTCAACAAGGCCAAGTGCAATGGCGCAAGTGGGCCGGTGCAATCCCAAGCACAACTATAGGCTGGGCGAGGAATGGATTGAGAGCAGCCCCAAGGAGAAGGACTTGGGGGTATTGATTGATGAGAAGCTCAACGTGAGCCGGCAGTGTGCGCTTGCAGCCCAGAAAGCCAACCGTGTCCTGGGCTGCATGACAAGAGGCGTGACCAGCAGGTCGAGGGAGGTGATTCTGCCCCTCTACTCCACTCTTGTGGGACTCCACCTGGAGTACTGCATCCAGCTCTGGGGCTCCGATACAAGAACCTGGAGCTGTTGGAATGAGTCCAGAGGAGGCCACAAAGATAATGAGAGGGCTCCTGGGAGACCTTATAGCAGCCTTCCAGTACCTAAAGGGGCCTACAGGAAAGCTGGTGAGGGACTGTTTATGAGGGAGTGTAGTGATAGGACAAGGAGTAATGGGTTTAAGCTGAAGGAGGGTCGATTTAGATTAGATGTTAGAAAGAAATTCTCTACTGTGAGGGTGGTGAGGCACCGGAACGTGTTGCCCAGAGAGGTTGTGGAGGCCCCATCCCTGGAAGTGTTGAAGGCCAGGTTGGATGGGGCTTTGGGCAACCTGGTCTAGTGGAGGGTGCCCCTGCCCTTGGCAGGGGGGTTGGAACTAGATGATCTTTGAGGTCCCTTCCAACTCATGCCATTCTAGGATTCTGTGACATGGCTTCTAGCACTATGATTCTACAAAGTACAAAATGCGGGATTGAACATGAAGATGGAAATCAGGAGTTCTCTCCATCTTTCCAGATTCCTGAGCTTTACCTTTACGTTAATTTATATACTCAAAGCAATTTTTATACGATCCATCAGTTTTTCTGAGTTTCTTTAAACTTGTGGGAAACCCCGATTATACCAAGTGAAGATGAACTTGTTGATTTCACCTTTGTATGATGTGATGGCGCATTACTGATTCAGCTTTCCTGCCACCCAGGATTTATCTCAATGACCCAGCATGTGACCTGTGGTGAAGTTTAAAATTTCTAGCATACCTTTTAAGAGGGCGTATATGCAAGTGACACATAATGTATTTTGTCTTTCCTCCCAAAATACTGAGATAACAGAGTCCTAAGTTAGATGAGTAATAGTGCCACATCATAAGCATTAGCAAAAGAAGCCTATTTTATTTTGTGCACTGCCAATGAGGCCATGGCACGTCACCTTTGGAGTTCCACACCCCCCCCGGTGAGGTTAAGCAGGGACAGACTTCCTAAAGGGAGCAGAAAGCATCCCTCTACCCTGGCCTCGTACCCCCATGCCAATCAGTACTAGCACACCATCATTCATCTGAATCTCTAAAAGGGTATGAGTGGGTGGACATGTGTGAGCTTTCCAGAAATGATTTCTCTCTCTGAAGAAAAAGCTCTGAAGCTGATTTATGACTATACCAAGTGGTGTGTTTTGCCTTCATCTTAATTAAGGGAAGAACTGATTCATCAAGGATTAGACTCTCAGGCTGAGCCTTCCAGAGGAGGTGAAAAATTCTGACTTGTGCCCTTGATATCCAAGGGCACCTTATTTTCAGGATACTGAAAACATTTCTAACTCTCAGTACTGTTATTCTGGATACATCCCCACTGCTAACTAGAACAACATGAGCACTGGATCTGTTTATCTACTTTGACTAAATGTTAGCTTGCTTTCTGGCTGGTGTGGACTGCTCTGTGTAGCATTCTTCCAAGACAACTCCTTGGTTCCTACTGTTATGAAGAACTTGCCATCTACAGTCGACAAGACAGGTGTGAAGTTTCATTATTCTACATAATACACACAAATTTATACATAATAATCTACATAATATATACTAAAATATACAGAAGATTAGATGACTTTAGGGCCATGCATAAACTAGAATTGAATTCTTTAATCTCAAGATCATTTTTCCTCAAACTCAATACAACAAAGAACATTACAGATTTCTAATTATACTGACCCAGATCGGTAACAGGCTGACAAAACAGCTATTTCCTGTGTGGCATAATCATGGATTTTACATATAAAACAGTAGAGTTACTGTTAATAATTATTATCATTGCAATGAATATAATTGGTAATGAACTTTCTAAAGCACAGGGATGATTTTGAACCTGATTAAAATGTTGCACCTCATTATTTAGTGGCATGACCATCAAGCTAGTTTCCCATGTTAAGAATGGCACATCTGAGTAATACTGTGACAAAATACACTTAAGGCAATAATAAAACAGAACAGCAATATTTCAATGATGTGAGGCAGAATTATTTAAGTTGTTCTGGAAATATGACATGTTTTTTATTGCACTTATAAAAAGTTAAGAAAATAAATGCAATTTTCTCCTATATTCTCTTATGTTTACTAAACTATTCGGTTTTCAGCTTCCAATTTTACCTGATCCAAGTGCATTTACCTTAAAAGTAAAAAGAGGATAAGAAAACATGGACTCTGAATTGCTCAGTTCTGGAAAGAGAAAGCTTCCCAGCATTTGACATTTAGACAGATACACAAACACAAGGTACAAAGAAGCCAGTTTCTCAAAAGCTCATGAATTACAGGATTCTTCCCTGACACAGAGTAATTACATCCCAGTGTTATCTACAAACTGTGTGTGATGGTATAATGAGAAACAGATTCTAAGAATATTTACTCATAATTCTGGAGCAATTCTCAAGCCCCTGGTTATTGCCTCCACATGCGATTTGATTACTGAGGTTCTCGTATTTGTTATTACTCACTTCAACTCTATCCAGCTAGAAGCATTAGCAATTAAAAGGGCTTGAAGATTCTTGGGCATTTTTTTGGTGTGTGATTATGAAAATGGCCATTCTTACTTATGGTGTTAATGCTGTCCTCCCTACAAACAAGGCTGTTTGTTAAAAAGCATGTGATAACATCACCATTGTGTATTATGGTTCTCTTAAGATGATGCTAACAATCTGAGAAGAGTGTGATTCATGTTGTTTAATGCAGAGAAAAAAAAACCCATCAGAAAATGTTACCCTCATTTCCTAGAAGTTCCTCCTTTCCATGACTTTACTGGATAGACTCCAGATGAGAAAAAATGCATTTTCCCTTTCCCTGCTTTTTATTACGTTTGTTTTGAGCCAATAATGATGAACTTATACTGGCAGTCAAAGGGTCAGTACTCATCAGATCATAAATTATTTTGCTGATTACATGCAGTCAACAACACCTGAGGCCCTTCAAATAACAACAACAATAATAATAATGATAATGATATAAACAAGCTTTAAAACTATGCTCCTGCCCTAATGAGTTTTCAGTCTAGCAAGACAAAGCCAGAAGAGGAACGAATGAGGCAAAACACATGAATCTCTCTCAGATGACTCATCAGTTAATATTATCCTTCAGGAGGGAGAAAGGTTTATAGACTCCTGGAGATGGGAGCTGAGCTTGACTGAGTAGAAAACTGGTCTGGGCAAGGCATTCCAGGTGTTTAAGGAAATGTAATGTATAGCATGAAAATAAAACCAGAAGAATGACTGGGAAAGGGTATTCAAACAAACGGTTGGAAGGGGAGCATGGGTCTACAGGGGTTCATACCGTCAGCCTACTCCTATTAAAGTCCCAGCCCAGCACCTAGAGATCCTGCTGCCAAGCCAGAGCTGTTTGCTGTCACCAACTCCTCCTTCCTAGGTATTCTTTTCTAATGAAAATCTTTCTTCTTATGATGCAGTTTCTCACTTTATGTGAGAAAATTACTTTCTGTGTACCTCTAAATCAAAGTCAAGAAAACATAGAGTCAGGGATTATGTGTTGGTGCATTTTTGTACAGAAGCTGCAATAAAGAGACCTCAGGCCTTACTAACACTGTTTGATAACTGCAATATCTGTGAAAGCAGTAAGAAAATTCCTTCGCCTCTTGCAAGTATATACTAGATTAGCCATAGGGATTGGTCTCAGCGTACACAGTAGCTTAATACCACAGTCTAGGAGATAGATGATTAATAAACTTGAACTCAGGAGGGAAGGAATGGGAAGACTGAGAAGTCAAAGTAATTCTGAAATTGGAAAAAGAGAGTGCAGGCTGGACAGGGCACAACATTTTGGTCTTCCTTGTCCAATCCCAAAACACGTACTGTGGCCTCTCATGCACTTTTTGACTAAAAGAAATCCATTCAAACTGGTGGCGCGATGGGAGGCATGTTCTTATGTATACAAGGAGACAAAACAGCCAGGTCAAATAATGTCCCAGCATTAAAAAAAAAAAAAAAAAAAAGTCACACACACACTTATTACAGATATTACATTATACAAAGTATATATACAAAGGGTTGCAAAGACTACTTGGAAGAAGGAATTAAGTAAGAATAGGCCACTGCGGTAGTAAAGCATCGCGTACAAAATTATCTGCTGCAATACAGATGTCAATGTGAGACTGCAAAGCCATATAGGTACTTTTGATCTACCTACTGTACAAACGACCACAACAGGCAACAGATGCTTCAAGTAGGAATGAAGTTACTTAGACACTATAATGCATAGGTAAGCATTAGTTATAAAAATAACTAAAAAATAGTTATGTTTAGCAGGGTAAATTACCCCTGCTAAACACTATCTTGACGAGTATTTCTGTTGTCAAACCAGACAGCTTAGAAATAGTTTCTCTGCCTTACACTCTGTCCTGCATATATTCATTAGATAGTAGAGTTATGAACTCAGAAGGCATTTCTACTGGTTGGATCAAGATGTAATTACCATGATTTCTACATAGTTCAGAGCAAAAAAAGACTATCCAAAGGTTTTAAATCAGCCTTCATGTGTATAATATGCATGAGAGGTAAATAAAAGCTGGCTCTGAATTGCAAAATCTTACTCAGACTTGAGCAGCACTATAAGAACAGCTGAGCTACTTCTTATTTCTTCCTCATTTTGCCTGCTGACCTCTCGTTTTCTATTCTCCTTGCTACTGTTGCTCTTCTGCTTTCTTATGAAGGCTGAAGTAGAGTAGCTATTAAGCCTTTCAGCGTTTTCAGCTTTGTTATCTGCTCTCCATATCCATTATCAAACTGCTACATTTTTCCTTTGTGAGATTTTTGCTTCTTACATGCTTTTTATATACAGATACAGATGGTACAGGCTCTGAGGAAACAACAGGGGAGAGTTTACAAGAAGGGAGCAATAGAAAGTAAGAGAAGGAACACTGGTGGAGGTGAAATGATGCAGGACTCCTGAACCAGTCATCACTCTCAGCTTAGGGCACTGGCTTAAGAACCGTTCAGTCTCTTCATTTATACTGTTCTTCCTTAAATTAACACCCTGCTGTTTTTATCTCCCTGTCCCCCCTGCCACCCTCTTTTTTGGTCACCTCACAGTTCATGTACTACAAAAAACAAGAACAGCCTTGATTTATGTAAGCTGCTTCTCTTGAACAAAATCAGTGAGCTTTTGCAGGTCAGCGTTCTCTTTCTCGCCCCTGCTAGATCTGTCAAATGACAGCCGTATTCCACTGCTGCACATCTCAGCACACGTTGGCATCTTTGTTTACAGCTGTGCTACTTTAGATTACTACTTTTGGATTCATGGATTAACATTTTTTATTCTTCCTATTGCTTGACAGTTCCTGGTATCAGTGAGTAAAATGATGGCCAAAAGGTAAGTTCTGCCTCAAAGAACTTGAAATAGAAGGACTGTGAAAAGAGAGATAGACTTTTTCCCATATCCATTTATTTGACTGTGTTAGCCTATTAATTGTAGGCTGTTTAGTAATGTATGGAAGATACTGCTTCCTAGACGAACACTTACCAGAACATTCTAACTTAATACAAGAATGAATCAAATCCACCAAATAAATGCATGCAATTGTAAATAAAATGTAAATATCTACTGAGAAGAAAGAGCCACAGTTTCTGCGGGCAGATACTGAGGCATGGAAGGTGTGATGGCAAAGACAGGAATCTTGATCAAGTTAATTCTGAACTTTCTAAAGCAGCTGTTACTTAGGACTTGCCTTACTGAGAAAATTACCATAAACTAGTATTCTTGCTACGCTGCTGAAAGCATGTATATACACACAGCTGCATGGAGTAAGTACAGCACCCTCATCCTAATTTAAATCCTGTTAATTTTCTCTTGTAGCTGTGTCCTTAAGCAGATCATTAACCCGAGCATCTCTCACTGCAATTCCCCCAGGTGACAGAATAGCCAGACAGGCTGCTATTCTCTATTAGATTTAGTTTTCTTCTGGAGAAAGGATAAGTTTAATAAACCACAAAAATTTTGCATGCCACATGATGCTGTCCAAAAGACACAGAACAAAGCTCTAACACTTCCATTTCAGTCTTTGCAGCCAGAGAAACAGAAAGGATTTTACAAATTGTTAAATACTATGAAGCACTTACCGTCCTGAAGAAACTTGTTTAAGTGAACCAGCACTTTCGAACAACTGGGCTCTCGCAGCCACTCTGAAAATAAAGCACCACCTTGCTTTATACTTTGCCCATTAATAAACCAGACTACTTTCACTTTTAATCATCTAAAGACATGGATACATTTTCAAAAATTGTTTTAATTTTTCACTTAGAGAAACAGAGGAAATTCAACAGCTGAATTTAAGTCCCTATTCAGCAGAACTCTTATGGGCTTAACCTAATTGGGCCTGACTTCTACATGGTCTAGTGCCTTACTGAGTCATCAAGAGAAATCTCAACATCCTATATTTAAAATTATACTCATGGATGGCCAATAGATATATCAGAAATGCTTCTACTGCCAGTCTGTCCCTATCAGGCTGGAGCTCTGAGCTGTGCAGGATTCTCTGTTTAAGGCAGAACAGTCTGTGAAATCACTACAGTGATCCCTTCCAGTTTAAAAAGTAGAGAGGCTGAACGGAATCCTGCAGTATTCGGAGAATTTGGTGCTCTGCAGATCTTGAAATCACTTGTTCATGGGGACAGAGAAATTCTGAGTCAAAGTCAGGATTACAGCAAAGATCTTCTGACTCTTAAGTTTGTGCTAAAAGTACTGAGAAACATTGCCAACCCAATTCTCAACAAGCTAAATTAGAACCTCTATTACTTAGAACTATCCTCCTCTCAACATATGCCTCCTGGCCAAAAAACCCAAACCAACCTGTTAGAAAAAACCAAAGATATCAACTATTTAACATGCAGCAAACGAAGAAATTTCAGAACAGAATTTTGGGGTTTTTTTTTTGCCTTTCTCCAGTTTTGGACTTACACAAATAAGATCTGATGATCTTCTTGACATAAAGAACAGTAAATAGCATCTATGCTCCTTGAAACATTAAATTCCAGAAGAACCAGAGATAATATTACTTATCACTTTCCAAAGATACATTTCTTTATTGTAGACCTTATCTGTGGTCTAATGGAAGTCAATGGGACTCTTTCAACTGACTCCATCAGACTTTGTGCCATGTCTCCTTTGTTTACAATTTTAATGAAGCTAGATAAATAATTGACAAGTATAGAAATATTCAAATCAAGTATTCATGGATGCTTTTTCAACTACTAATGTACCTCTCTGGGATCACTTTATAGTAGACAATACCGTAGCAACACAAATCTGCAAAGGGCCTTGATGACTTACACAGATCCTGGTCTTTGATAGCCATTACTTGACGCGGTATCTAATCTTAATCTCCTGCACATTTTGGGAGGCAAATCAGGGTTTGGTGGAACCTTTGGTGTATCTTTGGTATCTGTTGAAGATAAGCTCTGTATAGATCCACTGCAGCTTTTGTTCCCTAAAGAAAACAACCAAATTACAGGGAATATTAAAGCTAATTTGAACTTGTTTCACAACATGTGTAACATGCAAAACAAAATGTTTGTTCTTTTTCTGTTTTGTTTTGTGGTTTTGGTTGGGTTTTTGTTGTTTGTTTGTTTTGTTTTTTTTTTTTTAAAGAGGCAAAATAGGTAGAGAAAGTACTTACTAAGACAGAGAAGAAATGGCCTTTCAGGCAGAAAGACAGGAGAAAAGGACCACCAGCAAGACTGAAGAAATGCCTTTAAAAAGGCTAAAAAATTACATTATACTTAAATGGCTAGTCATTAAAAGAGATAATAAAAGCAATATTTATAAAGTAGTACACTGTATGGAATTGTAGAAAAAAAATCATGTTAGAAGGGATCTCAGGAAGTCACCTAGTACAAATTCCTCCTCAAAGCAGCACCCACTATGAAATCAGATCACATTCATTTGTAAGAGTTAATATGTCAGTATCCACAGAACCTTCATGCAGTTTAAAAAACAACTTAGAAATTAATGATTATGAGTTGCCAAAAACAATTGCTACTGTAACATGATAAAACAAATCTATAGCTGTACAGACTGCATTGCACACAAAAAAAAGTCCTTTTAATGAATACAAGGCATGGTCACACATGTCCTTTAAGCTGACCTATCTGTGGACTGCTGCCTTATTTGCATATACTTCTGTGTTTCATTATTCCCACGAACAATAGATGCTTAATAATGGTTTAGAAGCTGTCATAATATAAAGAGATCCCAAAATATAAAAACATTACCTGTATTATTAATATTGTTATTCCATAGTATCATTCCATATTATAAATTATTGTTAATGAGAATTATTATTCTACATTATTAATACTGTTAATAGAACACTAATTCATATCTGGAAGTCTTAAGAAGAAGCTTGTACACTCCATGGGGGGCGGAGGGGAGAGAACTTTCTTAAACTTTCAGGACTGCACATAACCACACATTTACCCTACCTGTACTACTGCTATTACTTATACTATTGACAGTCCAGTGGCAAACGCAGCACTCGCACTCAGTGCACTGGGGCTCATTGTTTCAGCGCTGGCTGTTAATCTTCATAATTCAAACCACTGCAAATATATTTCAAGAAAGTGTATCTTCTAAAGTAATTTCCATATAGCTGTCAATATAGTGCAATATCACCTCTTGTACTCACAGAGGTACAGCAAGGGTTCACAGGCATTCCAGCTAACTTAGCATTTAGCAGAACTGTCTAAATTAACTGTGTTTAAGCTTCTCTGTCTTGTAAGGAGCCTTATCTACAGGCTTATTTGGAACACAGGGTCAGCTTAGGTGCTCTGAGGGTGTTCTTCGAAGCAGCATCTTTCTTTGAACAGGATGACTGGCGTCCTAACCTGTGCACTGACATTGGATTCCTAAAGTTGGCTTTGCAAACTTGTGGTTGTTCTTGCACATCATGTCCATATACAGGACCATTCAGCCACAATCTTGTGTTCAAGCTAATCCACGTGCACTACTAGATAACAAACCATGCGAGTAGGGCAGAATGAAGCAGCCATTCCATCAGCAGAGTTTCAGACACACATTTCATGCTGAGGATTACCTTTTTATCCCATCTGTCCAGTCCTATCTCAACTAAAGGCATTGATGGTAAAAACCGTAACTAAAAAAAAAAAAACCAACCCAACAAAACAAACTATCTTTCCTTCAGTCTCCTACTTCAGCCAATTTAAGAGATGCAGTTGTCAAAAAAACAAAAAGCAGGCACACCGACAAGGAATGACAGAATTGTTATTTACTACATATGTTAAGCCTAGTGCTTTGTAAATTTAAATGCTAGCTTTGATCAGTATCAATCGTGTTGCAAGGATTCACTCCTCTGACGCAGTGATAAACCATAGCTACCAACTGTTCTTATAAACCCACAATCTCCTTACGAGTCAGTGGTCTAGATGAGGCATAGCAGGATAGAGAGTACTCTAAATTCTGAGAAACACTTTTAAGCTGTGTGAACTGTACGGGTAACAAACAATGGAAATATCTCAGAAGCAGCTTGAAAACTGAAAGCACATACCACAAAAATTAAAAAAATAAACAGAAAAGATTAATGAATATTGTTAGCTTTCTGATGCAGCTCTTGTTTTCTGATGTGTCACAGTAAACACTGATGTCCTATAAGACCTTGGAAATTACCTTCACCTGATGGAATTGATCTAAGGGAAGATGCTGAAGACCTTTTCAGCCCAGACAGACTGTAAGAACTCTTTTTGGTCAGGTCTGTTGGTGGAGAGGCATTCTCTGGTCCAGTGACCGAAGCTACACTTTGGCAGTCTGACTCCACATCTGTTTTGGTTGCATCCTCCTTTGATGAGGATTCTGGACTTGTAGTCCAGAGGCCTGAACTCTTCTGGCCATTAGAAGAAGGGGGAGAGGCAATCCATGGAATCCCTCCTGATTTCTCCCTGGGCTGCGAGGGCGTGCATTTGGTAGTGCTGTTCTGCTCGGAGGAGTGAGAAGAGAGAGATTCAATGCTGCCCATGGGAGTGCTGTCTGGGCTACTGCTGTACGAGTCACCTAGGGAGGAGGGAGGGGAGGGGAGAGAGAGGGAAACAAATAATTACATTTTCTAATCATGTGCATTTCTCTCATGCCACCTTTAGCCCTTTCAATCCTACCTGTCATAAAATTCATTAATCTGTGGATTCAGAAGCAGTGATTCTTAAGACAAAATAGCTATTTAGTTACTCTAAGTTTCACACATATTTCTATTTTGAACCTGGAACAGCTGCAATTTGTGGATATTTCTTTAGAGCTGATGAACATAATGGGCTACAGGCTAAACCATTTTGCAAAAAAAGTTTGCATTTTCAAATAACTACTTGCAATATAAACATCTTCAGGAAATTCAACAGTTACAATGCTGCAATATCTTTGTGGAGGAGCCACAAAAGTGAGGTGCCATGCTGGACTTTGTTCTCACCAACAAGGAGGGACTGGTGGGGAATGTGAAGCTCAAGGGCAGCCTTGGCTGCAGTGACCATGAAATGGTGGAGTTCAAGATCCTCAGGGCAGCGAGAGGGGTGCACAGCAAGCTCACTACCCTGCACTTTAGAAGAGCAGACTTGGACCTCTTCAGGGATCTGCTCGGTAGAATACCATGGGACAAAGCCCTGGAAGGAAGAGGGGCCCAAGACAGCTGGCTAATATTCAAGGGTCACCTCCTCCAAGCTCAGCAGCGATGCATCCCAACAAAGAGGAAATCAGCCAAAACCACCAAAAGGCCTGCACGGATGAACAAGGAGCCCCTAACAAAGTCAAACACAAAAAGGAAGCCTACAGAGAGTGGAAGCAAGGGCAGGTAGCCTGGGAGGAATACACAGAAACTGTCCAAGCAGCCGGGGATCAGATTATGAAAGCTAAAGCCTTGATAGAATTAAATCTGGCCAGGGACATCAAGGGCAACAAGAAAAGCTTCTATAGGTGTGTCAGTGATAAAAGGAAGACTAGAGAAAACGTGGGCCTCCTCCGGAATGATATGGGAGACCTGGTTACCTGGGATATGGAGAAGGCTGAGGTACTCAACGAATGTTTTGCCTCAGTCTTTACCAGCAAGTGCTCGAGCCACACCACCCAGACCTCAGAAAGCAAAGGCTGGGACTGGGAGAATGAAGAACCGCCCGCTGTAGTAAAAGATCAGGTTTGATAATAACTAAGGAACCTGAAGGTGCACAAGTCCAGGGGTCGTGAGGAGATGCATCTGCGGGTCCTGAGGGAAGTGGTGGATGAAGTTGCTAAGCCACTCTCTATCATATTTAAGAAGACATGGCAGTCTGTTGAAGTTCCCACTGACTGGAAAAGGGGAAACATAACCCCCATTTTTTAAAAGGGAAGAAAGGAAGACCTGGGGAACTACAGGCTCGTCAGTCTCACCTCTGTGCCCGGCAAGATCATGGAGCAGATCCTCCTGGAAACTATGCTCAGGCACATGGAAAATAAGGAGATGATTGGTGACAGCCAACATGGCTTCACGAAGAACTGCAGCCCGTGGGAAGGACTCACATTGGAGAAGTTCATGGAGGACTTTCTCCCATGGGAGGGACCCCACGCTGGAGCAGGGGCAGAGTGTGAGGAGTCCTCCCCCTGAGGAGGAAGGAGCAGCAGAGACACCGTGTGATGAACTGACCACAAGCCCCATTCCCCGTCCCCCTGTGCTGCTTGGGGAAGGAGGGAGAGAAATTGGGAGTGAAGTTGAGCCCGAGAAGAAGGGAGGGATAGGGGGAAGGTGTTTATAAGATTTAATTTTATTCTTCATTACTTGACTCTGATTTGATTGGTAATAAATTAAATTAATTTCCCTGAGTTGAGTCTGTTTTGCCCGTGATGATAATTGGTGAGTGATCTCTCCCTGTCCTTATCTCGACCCAGGAGCCTTTCATTATATTTTCTCTCCCCTGCCCAGCTGAGGAGGGCAGTGACAGAGCGGCTTTGGGGGATATCTGGCCTCCAGCCTGGGTCAGCCCACCACAACAGCATAAAACCGGAGTGCAAATTCCAAGTGTTTTTGGAACATCACAAGAATAGCATCGAAGACCAATTCTTCACACGCACTTCAAAAACCTGTAAGTACCCAACAAATTTGAGAAACATTCCCTATCAAACATTACCTATAATCAGGCTCTTTGTACTGATCTTACTTCCAATAATCTTTTGCAACAGAATGTGGAAATAGTCTAATGAAATTATACAATGATATAAAGGTAGGACCACTCATTGGAACTGAGGAAGGGCTGGGCTATAATACAGTGAGGCCTGAATTATCTTGAAGACTGGATTCAGTCTAGTGAGTCATACATTGGTTTCTAGTAGGACTTGTTCCCAAAAGCGAGGATATATAATTAACAAATTTCACAAGAAGTACAGAATACATATTCTTCAATTACACAATAGTTATAAGATACCAACATGACACAGCTGCTTTTGCTGCCAGGTGTTTCAATATCTTTGGCAACAACTGACCATAACCTCACACAGTATTACAGATAAGGTCACAAATCCCAGTGCCTTGCATAGTGGACCTGACAACAGTAGTGCCACTGGTACAATAATCTGAAATATTCTGCCCATTTCTGGCCAGAATTCTGGTATTCCAGATTAGATTGTCCCCCATCTCGCCCCTTTACACACCATTAGTCCCTTGAAAATTGCAAGATTGGCTGAAGTCTGTATTTGTCAGATACTTTTTCTATCATTTTCTATCATTCCCTACCGTTTGAAACCTATATCTCATTTTTCATGCCATACAGAATTCCTTAATTTCTTGCAGTATAGTTAAATGTCTGTGCTTCATTTCAATGATGACTTAAAACCATCTAGTACTTCAGAAATTGCTATTGCTAGAAGCTGAGGCGCTCTCTTGCCTGTCTCCGGCCACACTTAAAGATATTTGGTAAGGAGAACACCTCTGCTCCTGCCTCAGCCTTCCAGACACAAGTGAGATCTTAACTGGAACCTGCGGAAGCACATGCTGAGCTTGAGCTAATAAGCAAAGCACAAGTGGAAAGCTCTCGGGTCAGACCTAGTTCCAATCAAGCCACCAGCACAAGATGTGTCTCAATGAAAAAGCGTGAGCTTGCATACGCTCTGCAAAATACTTGCACAGAAATGCCCCTTTTTTATGCTGACATTCATTCATTGCAGTTGCACAGTGAAAAACAGTTGAAACTTGCCCATTTTGTCTTCTGGTGAATGTAACTGATGGTTCTTCTGCAACTTCCTACTCGGGATCCCATGCCATTCACACTGGCAATCGATGTGCAGGCAACTATTGCTCTCATTTAGTATTTAAACTCTCACTGGCAGGAATCATATACATCAAACATAAACCTATGGAACATGCAGCACCTGTGCAAGAGTATACTGAGGATACATTTCCTAACATTACAGACTTAATTACTACAGATCCTCAATAACAGGTGAGCCTTAACTGTGGATTAATTTACTGTACCAGTTTCATGTAAATCTCCTTGAGGAACCAAGGGACACAGAAGTTCTTCTGAAAGTCTGTTGCAGTACTGGAGCTGTTAAAAACTTAATCTTTGCTAAAGTTTCAATACTTCTTAATGGTACAGCCAATAAGAAAAAAAGTGACGGCCCACTAGATGAAAATGAATGAAGCGAAACTTTTTAATAGTCACATCTACATGAAAATGAATAAGCATTCTAAGCAGCAATTAATTATAAACATAACTCCCTGCTGTTAAACAGTAAGCCATATGATAAGTATACTGTTTCTCCCAAAAATATCAGAGTTTGTTTCTATTCCAAAAAAACCTGACAAAGTTTCAGTGGTTTTGGCAGCCTCAGCAGTGGCTGACTTTGAACCAATGACCACAGTTTCATGCATGTGAAAAAAGCCAAGTAATGGTTTTCATCTCCTGACCTTGACTGAATTATATTTGTTACAGGAGGAGAGGAAAGATTCTATTTACAGTTTCCCACCCTTAATCATCTTACAAGCAAATGAGGTGAACTTCATATAATGAACTTCTGAGTTTCAAAGCAGACTACATTTAGATTAGAATATAAAGTCTACTCTAAATGATTTTTGAACACAGTATGCAGTATAAGACTTGCCTAAAACCAAACATCCTGCCTCACCTGAGAGAAGCAAGGAATGCAGTCATTCAACACTGCGGCTATGACTCACAGAGGTTCAAAAGCTGATGAAACCCCACATGTTATGCTTATAATTATTGGAATACAATACCTATTGGATATTATTCAGGCAAGTTAAAAGACAAGACATAAAAAAGGAAGATAACCAGTCAATAACGACAAACTTACTGTCAGGATCTGCTAGACACGGTGTATATCTTCCTTTGGGTTTACGTGAACCTGTAGAGAGACAAATTGCTCTTGTCCTTCTTGAACCTGATCGGGACTGAGGTTGGGGAAGAGGAATATTGGGGTCTGGTGCAGTGTGAAATATCTGCGTGATTAAAAGAACAAAAGGGAAAAAAGTCATAAACAATAGAGGTACTCTTACACTTCCATTATTAATCCATTTGTTTTCCTCAGCATTGTGCCTGAAATTAATGTTGTAATAGTCTCACACATTACAAAAGAGTAAATTCACAGAATATAAACTTTGGTCTGATCTCATTTTACAGTCCAAGAACCACAAAACTGAGCTGTACTTAAAATTTATACTAATTATATAAAAATATTTGTTTAAATAGTTTTATTTTCTAGTCCCTGTTAAGAAGTGCTTAACAGTCTAAATTGTAAAACATGCAAAAGGTGCTTACTACTAATCCTGCACAAGAAGTAATATATTTTTTAAATATTATGAAAAGATTGTATTTTTTCTCTTTGTTTCTGTGAATGCTTTTGTATAGAAACGTGTCATAATCATAACTTATTACAATCCAGTTGTTAATTCAGAAAATCACTTTATTTTGCCAAACAAGCCAAGTTTGATGAGGAACATCTTTATGTTTGGAGCATTTCCTGCTTTTTATCACTGGTCAATTTTGCACTTCATTGCTGCAGAAAAAAAATCAATTTTTTATGGGTATCTGACTTCTGCGATCTGACACAGGCACACATGAGGTTTTAAAGAGCTTGTTGCTGATAAGTTTGGCAAGTCTGCCAGCAAGGACAATGAAGAAGGTCCAGTAATTTGGTTGACTTTCATTTGTATCACCTGTTCTGCAATATCCAAGACACATGCAGCTGAGGTCTTGAAAGACCCTAAAAACCTTCTTGGATACTTCTAGTAAAAATGATAATTGCCTTGGAGGATGACCAAAGCAAAAAATATAACAAAAAAATTTGCAAGTTTTCATTCCAGATCTTCTTTCTCACTTATTCCTCATAGTGTAGACTGTAAACTCTACTGAGTATCTCTTATGGCATTCTGTGGAACGAAGTGGAATTAGTTCTGTGGAATGGAAAAGAGGTTTTACAGAGAAAGATTGCCTGAATAAGCTACTGAAGGAATCAGAAGTGTCCATCCTCCACAGGGCCAAGTGTTGTAGGTTAAATACCATCCAATGCCAAAATAAGTCTCTGCAAAGATTTCTGGACCCTCTATCAATAGGGAAGTCCCAGAAGAGGATGAAGGGAACAATGAAAAGATATTTCCATGCCATTCACAGAAGTGGAAGAAAGCAAATATACTTCCACGGTAGAAAATACTTTAATGGACATCTTGAGATGCTCTTGAAGTACATTAATACTGTATTAGGCATTAGTGAGTAGCACACCAACACAAAAACATGTCTGTAGACAGAGAAATAGAGCAAGGGTGACTTTGGTTGTGCAGCCATGGTCTTTGTACTGAATGAGCATGTAATTTTCTGGAGGGGAAATTCAGTGTTGGAAACATGTAATACATATGTTTTGGAGTTACAGCCAAGGAGGCTACCAGTATCACACCAATTTTAAGGAGTTCCTGTGAAATATAAACTGATGATACCTAGTGGTACTGTCAGTACTTACTGACCAACCACTGCAAGGGATCTTGGTATTGACTGGGAACTGCCCCTTAGCCGAGTAACGTGAAATGGAAGAAACACAAAGTTTTTTCACTTTGTTTTGTTAGTCATCAGAGAAGGTGATATATATATCAAAAGAAGATCCCTGAAATAAAATTTCTTCTGATGAGCAAGTAAAGGAGGTCTTGACTGTTCTGCTGAGTTCTTAAATCAGTAAGTTTAAAATAAAATAAAATCTGAGGAGGCTTTTCAGTGAAGCTGATACCTGCAATGATAGTGACTGAAAGCATTTCAAATTTCATGGATTTTCTTTCTCAAGCCCTGAAACAGCTTATTCAGTGTTCCAGGAAAGAGTCTGAGATGGACCTTTCTTGTCACTGGTCTCTTTGGGGAAAACAAAATAAACTAGGCAGTTACAGACATGCCTTTCTTCAAAGAAAAAGAAGTACATAGAGAAGTTTGTGTGTTTCAGAGTATTCAAGAACTTTTAAATCACAAAGACATGATAAGCTTAAAACCTGTAACTGGGAATAAAACCTCTCCTTTTGCTTTTTTACTTTTCATCTAGTATCTACACAAATGAAAAATGACACACCGCACAGAAATGGGGAATTCGGCTGGGAATCCACACTGATGCTGCTCATGAAAAGAGGAACTGAAGGATGGCTGGGTTTCATGGGTTTCATGCAATTGGGTTTTATGACATTAGGAGGAACTAGATCTCCACTGTGCAACTGGTGTATTCCCAAAGGACAGCAATGGTCAGAAGGACTGACCTGATGCACTCAGAAGAGAATCCATACATTCACCCAGAGTGAAGCTCCATACACTGCTAGCATGAGAGAGATGGAGGAGCTGGGAGCAAAGTTATGACCTTCTCATTCTGTTTCTAGATATAAGAAGGACACAGCAATCTTCAGAAAGCAACTGAAGATTCAGAGCAACTCCTTCAAAGCATGGGAGATTATGCTTTGGATCTGTGCCTTGCACAGCCACAAATCACTTGCTAGGAATACAGATCCATAGCATGGAGTGGGAAAAATGTATTCTTTCTATCAATGGCCTTCTACAAATACTGGATTTCTTATTCTTAAGTACTTAATGATGGTAATGAAAATGAGATCTTAGTTCCACTTCATCACAAAACAGTCAGATAATGTCTTTCTACCTTTTCATAATGCTCTATCAGAATTTCAACGACGATATTCTGAAACTTAATGTTCATCATAGCAGCCACGGTTTCTTCTTGGGCTCTCATCAGAGTTGGTCCAAAGATAACACCAAGGTTGGATACAGTCATTAGATTTTGCTGACTGTGTAATGATACCCTTTAAATGAACACAAACAATATGCAATTAAATTGTTGTGCTAAACTACAATTCCAACAGGCAAAAACCTGTTAAGACTACTTCTTTAACAAGATCCCAAGTTCATGCCTCCCTTTTAAAAACATTTTTAAAACTTTCACTTTTACTAGAGTCAAAATACAGTGTAATACAACTACTGTATTTCTATTAAGGCTCCTATCCTGCAATAACTTAATGGATAATAAGCACAACTTCCTAAAGTATTTAAGTTCCTGACATAACTGACATGGAAAAGCAGCTATCTTTGAAGGTCTCCACAGAGAGATCCAGACCATCTGAAGTTTACAAGTCTTAGGGTAGTCACATATTTCTCACCAATGATTATACAGGAACTTAAATACTTGATGTTGGATTCACTGAAAATACTATGTGATAACAGAGGTCAACCATATACCTTAGCTTTCATTAAAAGAAAGAATCTTAGTTACTGAAAACACCTAAATTGCAATAGGATCTCTTTATTAATATGTTGAAAACACATATCAATGGGGGATCAATAGGGTCAATGGGGTCAGTGAAATCATTGGTTTTGTGGTATAGATAACACTAGATGATCATAATGACATCTTCTGCCTTTAAAATCTATTAACATTTTACTTCTATATATTCGGTTATTGCTTACTGTATCTTTTCTGTAATTTTTTTCTTAATGTAGAATTCAGAAACTTAGTTTTTCCAACAATTTATCAGATATTAAAATGAAAACCATCAATCAGTAATCCTCAATGCCCCTTTTCTCTCCTTATTCATAAGATTTGCCAAATAAAAACTGTATCATCATAAATCCTTCAAAATAACTGCCAGTGACTCCCCAGTCACAGCTGCCCTATTGCCTCATGTCTGAGAAATATGCCAAGTCAAGATTTTATAATTGCCTTAATGCTTAATTTTACTGATTCTGCTACCAAATAGAGTCAGTTATTGAGGCAGTTGTTCACATTTGCCTTTTCATTGCTATCTGCTACCATTGTCTAGCTGAGCATTTTTAGCCATTTCCTACATAATTAAAATAACTCTTGTACCTTTTAAAATTAAGACACAGCAAAATCTATAAAATACTGGAAGACTAGCAGGTAGGAGCAAACTTTATCTTCTGCTTTTCTCTGACAGCCTTCATTAATCAGGTTTATGCAGACATCTGCTATGTTTTCCTTCCAATAATAAACTCAGATAGCTTGTGATGTTACACAAACATTAGCAAAATGACCTATCTGATGTCAGAGTTCGGTGGCAAATAACACAAATACTATCCCGTCACAAAGATTAGAAAGGCAGTGACAAAAAGACTGTGAGATTTTCCCAGGGCTACTGGGGGATTTTGTTAGAATCAGGATCAAACCCATGTCTGAATTCACACATTACCCTTTCTCTCAGTCTCACTGATGAGTAGGCACTAATGAGTAGAATAGTAGAATTATCTTGGTACAGAGGTGAGATAGACCATTACAATTACTTCTGTAATAAAGTAATAGTCCCCTTATGTTGAACAGAAACATTTTAGCACCCCATTTACACCGAGAAGTAGAAAAAGGGAAAATATGGGAAAGGGGTTTGTACTGGAGACATGATTATAAACCGCAGGAAAATAAATACCTATCTTCTTACATGTTTCCCAAGTTGCTTCATTAAGTTATGCCAAAAAAACTTTCCAAAATTTTACTTCAGGCAGACACATTGGGAGAGATCGTTATTTAGAAGCCATATTATGAAAATTACTGCCTTGTTAAAGCACATTTTTAGCCAATTACCTTAATTTAATTTTTTTCTGTAACATACCTTATGTTTGCCTTAGGTCACTAGGGGTTTTTCAGAAGTCCACTAGTAGTTTAATGAAAATGGAATTTTGAATTACTCAGCTCTAGGTTTGTTAGAAAAACCTAGAAAAAATAACCCTTTGCAATGTTACTCTGCTTTGTGCTGCACACACAGGCACAAAGTCTCTTACCCAAACATTATAATCTTATAGCATAAGAGAGAAAGTAGTGTTTGTCCTGTGTTTGGGTTTCCTTGGTTACAAATTTGGTAGCTCGGTTAATAAAAGGAATGGTGAATTTAATAACATTGTAACCAGAAAGGACTTTCTACAAAGCATTTCAAAGGCTCAATTTCTTGCAAAAGAGAAAAAACCCAGGCCAGTAAATGGATCATTTTGCCAGCCAATTTCCCCTGACCTAGTCCTGTTGAATAGACACAGGCCAAGGTAATCACGCATTTCAGGTAGCCGTAAGGCATTCATTAAGGTGCAGTTGCTTTCTCCTCAAAATCTCTTTCTTTGATATATCACCAGTAAATTTTTGATACTGTCACACTGTCAGACTCCCGACTATCTACCTTAGAAAAGTATGGTGTTATTAAATCATACCAAAGAACGATTTATTCTTTAAAGTAGACAGGTAATTTGACTAGGAAGGTTTAAAAAGTGAGTTACCTATCTGAAAATAACACCAAACTTCTCGTGTTTGCTTAGCTGCTGACTGAGTATATATGCATACAGTATCACCTCTCTGCAGGGTGTTTTGCAGGATTTGCTGGGTTTGTTTGTTTTTAGTATGATCTACATCCCACAACGTTTAGATCATATTTGCACAGTGACACAAAAGTCAAGGTAGGGAGAGAGGTAAAGACCTTAAGACCTAAACCAAGAAAAAATAATATTACCCTTATTTTATAACCCATAGTTAAAGGTATAGTATTTTCACCTAGGCATAAAAGCATACATAAAGGAACTGAGCAGCTAAAAGAAATATAGGGAAAGGATGCACATTTTGAAATTGGATTTTAAATAAAAGAATGAAGAAACAGGAGGTTGGGTTTTTTTTTTCATATTTTCCCATTTACATAAAATTTGGCACTTTATCTGCCATTTGTTCCTTGAAAAATCTCCACGCAGTGATAGGAAAAAAATGAGGAAGGAAGATAACTAATACACTCAAGAGACTAATTTTGAGTTCAGTCTTGTTAGAATTGCTAGCATAAACAACAGCTGGCAAATTATATGAGAAATTAGAAGAGGTGAATTAAATGTTGGAAAGAAAAGAACTGAAAGTTTTCAGTATAAAACCATAAAATTAAATTTATCAGAAATGAGAATTGCATCAAAGATGTGATAGGCAACACTTAAAGAGAACAATTAAAGAAGGTAATACTACAGGCATGCTTTTCTTTCAAATGCTTCTGAGGTCATACTGAGAATAAAGAGGCCAGGAAAAGAGGTCAAGAAAGAAAAGCTTGCCTGTAATTAATTCTGCCTAGAAATAAGTCAGTTCCTATGTATATATAGTTCTAATTTTGGGGCTCCCAGAATAGCAGCTTTCACAAAATCATTAATCCCTCCTTAAATGTTTTGACTTTTTAGAGGGTTAGAAAGCAGTAGATATTATATTTTTTAGCTAAACAACTCTGTGAGTAAGGAAACGTATGAAACTTGCTTTCACCTGGTACTCTGGGTTAGCCCATGTCTAACGAGGTGCAAGGTCTGCCCAATCAGTTTGTGCAATGGAAACTTTCACAGCAGTTCCCCATCATGTTAGTTCTCCAGAGGCTAATGACATAAAGAGCTAAAAATAATTTATTAGGGCTAAATAATTTCCTATCAAAGAAATTTTTAAAGTTCTCACGTCAATAAGAGGAAGCCAAACTGCATTAGGCTCCATTTTAAACAGCTTACTGCAGGCTATGGCTCAAGCTGTGATCAAAAAAGCAAAATAGCTGGGATGTAATGAACGGAATGAAAATGATATGGACTCCTCTCTTATGTCTTCTACATATCTCAGTCATGTCGGCCTTCTACTGAACTGCTGTTTCAGTATTCACATTCCCAGATCATTGAGAAATGTACTAAAAAGTATTCAGCATCCTAAATCAGTATAAAATAATACATAATAAAAAGTATTCAAGCAAATACCATTGAAAACTGACCAACGATTTAGTAAAACTTACATGAATAATACTTGATGCAAACAGGAGGTTGGGTATAATGTAATAATGGGAATTATAATGTAATAATGGTAAGTAATCATAGCTAGTGATATAGAGACATAAAAGAATAAAAACTTGTCTTTTTTGTCTCACAGCACATGCTAAGTGTACTTCAGTGAAGACAGAAGGTCATCGGTTCAAAGAAATGCAAAATCTTTTGCATATGACATTTAATTAATACTCAGAGAAGCTGACGGAAAAAGGGAGATTCAAAAGTGGGTTTGGACATTTATATAGATATCAAAAATATAAATAATAATATTTAAAATTAATGTTTTCAAATGATACTACACTTCAGAGCTGTTAGAGAGAAAAATAAGATCAAACGTGAAGGACAAGTATTATCACATTAATCTACTCTCCATTTCTGAAACAGTGCGGGACCTCGAGTCAGATGCAAACCAGTGTTTTCTATCAACCTCAGCATAGCTTCAGATGTTTCTGAAAATTAATTAGTGCCAATTCCTGTAGTAAGTAGGAACACGAATGAAAACGTTGAGTGGGTTTATTTTATAAACATAGTTGGTCATCTTGGTGACTCTTTATGGTATTATTTTTTATTTTGTTTCTACAATGGCTATTCTTCAGCTAAGTTGAAAACAGCATTTCAGAAATTAAATGTAATTTCAGTTGACATTGTTTCAACACAGGGAATGGATTAAGCAACACTGACAAATTCAAAGCAGAAATAATCACACCTTACAATAACATCAAAGAGAAAAATCAAAAAGAATTACTTGACCAAGTGCTTGATAAGGATGTCCAGCATCTCTCTGTTCTTCTCTGGTAACTTATGCACAAGTGCATGCACTGCCTCAACTCTGTAGTTCTGATCATCAGACTCTGTTTAATAAACAGAAAAGAAATATTGTTAATAAATTAGAACATGTGCTAGGACTACAAATGGCACCAATGCCTGCACGCTAATACACACATGCATTACAAGAAGCCAAACACAATTAGCCTTTAAAATGATTAGGACAATTTGATTATGACAACATTCTGAAATTTGTATTTTAAGTAGCTTGCAAAAAGCATGGAACCAATGAAATTAGCGGCAATGCTGACCCAATGTGCCACTTCAGTGAAATCCAAGATTTTACTCCTTGATATTTAAAATATCTAAAATTGAGTGTCTTTTATTCTTACCAAGGCAAGAGGAAATGGGGAAATAACTTCAATTCTAAACTGGAGTCGTTAAAAAAACAATCTTACTATCTCTGTATCTAATTACTCCATTTGTGAAAAGGAGATAATTATCACCCCCTCCAATTTTTCCAGGCAATCTGAGAAAATAAAGGTCCCTGGATGAGAGGGATGAATGCTATAAAAGAATTATCAGCCTGTATAAAACAAACAAACATATAAATCAAGGTTCAAAATTTCATGCAGAAGGCAGTCACACAGAACCTCTAAAAAGATCAGAACAAACCACTCAACAGCTTCATCTAGTGTGACTTCTCTGTTTTGAGGGCTTGCATGTGGCACCGTGCTGTCACATACAGTGACATGGAAGAACTCAGATCCATGACTGGATCACTGAATAATAGACCAAGGAGAAAAGTAAGGATAGTAGCTGAGGGGACTAAGGGTTAGAAACAATATTGCTTTCATGAAAGTGTATTTATTACTTTACTTACTAACAGCAACAATGAAATCTTTGTGCAGCTTGAAAGTCATCAGTGGTTCTGAGAGACACCTGGTTGTAAAAAAATATTAAAAGGAAATTAAAAAAAAAGCATTACTCGAAGTCTTTTTATGTGTGTGATTATGGTAGCCTTTAACATCCGCACAATGTATATTGGTATGTCCTAGGAAACCCAATTCAGTGATGACTGATAACAAGTAGTATACGACTCAGTCATGTACATAGTCTGAAAATCTCTACGAGTTGAATCTGGTGTCACCATGTAAATTAAGAAGGGAAATATTACCGGCACTGACTTCAGCACAGAGACTCACTGTTTTCTGGCTTCCATACTGTCAATAGGAATAAATACAGCTGCAGAACATGGTACAGTGGGCTGCAGAACCAATCTTTTGCCCAAGAAAGGCAAAAAACATGATGAAATTTGGGACTGAAATTCTGATCCGAGAGATCCTAGAAGAGTCATCCTCTGAAAGGCAGACTGAGAATTGCCTTCTAGACACAAACACACAGTTACTGCTAGCTTACGTTCTAATTTCACAAATACAGTACCTACAATGATTTGTGCTTCTGAAGATGTATTATAAATTTCTTCAACCAAAGCCAGTCTTCTCAACAAAGTGTACATGAGTATTCCACTATAAATCCCATGCATATTTTCCAGAGTGAACAGGGATTTCTGATGCTGCCCTTTGTTAGGTGACCGGTTTACAAAATCCAGATTTTTAGAAGGCATAGAACACCCACCATCTGGATTTGATACTTTTTATTATGTTCTTTTGAATGTTATATATTGAGACCCAACAAAGAGGGAAGTACCATAATTCTTGAAAATTCTATCTCTTATTAGCAAAAATTTTAAGAGAAAATGACAGTGTGGGAGGATACTGTGTTTGTGAAGACACCAACAGCATAGCATAAAAACCTATGCTTTTGCAGAGATTTTTATTCTGTTCTGACAATGATGCCATAAAACCTCATGGTACACAGCTTAAAGGATTCAGAAAAGAAAGACTGAGTGCAACAGGTTTTGTGGTTAATGAAAAAAATTTTAAATAAAAACAAGCAATTAATTAAATTCTGCCAAATTTAAGGCTATATAAGGCATGACTATCTTAATAAGGCAGAAAGTGTGTGACAAATTTTAGATTTATTATTGCACATAATCACAGCGATATTAGGCAAGATAATAATATACTCAATTCTTAGCATGCTAATAGATACAAGAAATGTAATATGATCTTAATAAGCAGAAGATTAATGGTCCAGAAAAGGAATACTGAGATTTGTGCAACATTGTACTTACCTGAGGTAGTTTTTTAGTCCGCTTGTTATTGTTTTATTGTCCCAAAGTTCCATATCAATATCCATATCAGGAGGAGATTTAGGGGCTGGTAGAAATTTGAATTATGATTGTGTTATAGTTTGACTAACACACTAACTAGAAAAGCAGCAAAATAGAAGCTAATAGATTAATCATTTAGCTTATGTGATTACTTATTAGCCAGATTAACTACCAACTTGATCAATTTGAATCTTTTAATCTGTCAAAGTATTAATAAAAATGAATTTAGCACTCATATTTAGCACCTGTAAACATTAACTATATGTGCTATATCAAAGTGTAAAGCAAGCCCAAGTCAACAAAGGATTACTAACGTGTTTGGCTTAGAAATTGAAACACAGGTATCAGAGAACAAAAAATAAGCAAGAGAAGTGAAAGACTAGAAGGGCTGTCCATTAAACTGAGTTATGCTGTGTTACAGAACTAAGCTTTGGAGCACTTCTGAAATACGACAAATAGATACCAATAATAGAACTTTAAAGCTAAAAGAAGAAAATTATTTTATCAGTAATTTGCTCATGTATATCAATGATTACATGCAGGAATTGAACACCAATGCACACAAGAAACTACTTAGATGGATCGCTCATGTTAAGACTGCAAACTCAATTAAGTGGCAGTAAGTGCACATAAAAAATTATAAATATTATTATGACACACTCTTCTGAGCACAGCAGTTAAGCCAAAAGGGACCACAGCACACATGCTGCACACTGACAAAGGTTCACTTCAGATACTTACAAAATATGGTATTCATCAGCTTTTGCACCTTGGAGTTTACACCACCTATTCTGTACAGCCCCAGGATTGTAATACCTACATTGGGAAAACAAGCACAATGAAAATAATGAACATATGGTTATTTCAATACAGGCTGATGCATCCTTGGTGTACGTTTTCAAAACATCTAAATGTATTTATGGAAACCTGTACAGTTACATTCTTAAGTTCTGCTTTACTACTGAATTCTCTTCTGGGATATTAAGAAATGCATTCTACTGAATCCACACTGTGCTACACACTAATCATAATCTTGCATTAACAGAATCTTTTTGCATAGAAATTACTCATATTAGCAAACAACAAGAAGATGGCTGGGAAAAGTGAAAAATAAGATCCAAAAGGAGTCTTAAAACACATTACATGTCTACAAGTTTATCTTACCTAGACTTCAGTGGAATTACTATGCACCTGTAGTTGCTTAGACCATCATCCCTTCCAATTAAGATCTGATTGACATTTATAGGAGAAATAATGATTGTACCCAAAATAAAACCATATACTGTATTCTGTTGCAACACTGTAATTGAGAATTTACATGTTATGCATGCATCTCCATCCAAAATAGAGACAGTCAAGTCCCAATTTACCCATAAGTTTCAATTGTTGGGATTTTTTTAATAGCACACATACTATAACAAATAACATTTAAAGTGTGACATTTACAACACAGTATTTCAGTGATCATAATTTTACTGTTTTTAACTGCCTTTTAAAATCAGCAGGATTTAAAAGTCTTCACTTCTCCCCGTTTCAGGTCTTACCATCTAAAAAATGCCCACTTTTCCTTTGAAAACAATGTTCCAAAGTCTGATCTCGCTTAGATAATCTAGGTGTTTTGTTTTGAAACCCTTTTTTTTTCCCTTCCAGAAAAAAATGCAAGCTCTGAGTCAGCAGTGATTTAAAAGCTACATAACACTGTTACCTGAGAAACTGAATTATTGTTGGGCTGTCTGTTGCACAGGGAGACCACAGAGCTTTTGGATTAGAAGACAGTTGCATACCGACAGCCCAGTGCATGGACAGGAGAAGGTTACCTCTTTTTATGGAAGACAATACAGACATACAGACATACCTCTTCATTTGAAAGAGGGTAATTAAAAACTTGCTGTGGGTTGCAAGATATCACCTCATCAGTAGACTGATTCTTTTTTTTTTTTTTACCTTCCCACTACCAAAAATGAGTTTCTAAACATTTCAAAAAATAGAGAAACAATGTGCAAAATGAGTGAATAAAACAATAGGAGTTATGCTCTGCAAAAAAAGATGCTCCAGCAGAGAGTATTCATGCCACTTTTTGGTCTTCAGGTTTCACACCAGAAAGCAAAGTTGGGAGCTGAGGCTCCCTACAGTTTTGCCACAAGAAAGCACAATTTGGTGCACACATATTAAAGACTAAAGATGTGTGCAACTGTGCATTAAGCTGTCTAAACAACATGAAATTACAGAAAATCTTAAAAAACCCCACTTAAATGGTATGTTAAGAACTGTTGTTGGAACTTGTGGCAACAATTTTAAGTCTAGAGCACATAGATAAAATGTGAAAGGTACAAACCAAATGATGGATACAGTTCAAAGCACAGCTGTAAAACACGTAGAATTAATCAAAGTAATATTTGAGAAAAAATACTCACAATAATCTAATACATAATTTGTGATTTAATACACACCTCTTGTTTCTACAGCATGAATACATTTCCTCACAAAGTTGAAACCTGCTTCATTTAAGAACACTATAAAAAGAAGGAAAAAAGGTAATTGTTTTCTAACTTATCAAGACACAAAATCTCTGTGTTTAGCTACATTCACATGTTAGTCAAGAAGGACCGATACACATCTATCCACGAGATTATGATACTTATTCTGTAATACTATTCTTGTAGATATGTCCTTAGCACTCAAAATCCAACTTTCTAACAGTGTATCATTAGGAATATTTGTTCCTTGCACATGCACATAACTGCTCATAAAGTGGTAACACAGGAAAACAATCTTTGTTATTGACTTTAGTGAGCTTATTTCAAATAAATGTACTTCTCCTTAATTTTTGTATCTTCAATGCTCACTGCTCTAACTAGCTAAACAAAGAAGATCTTAAAGCAGCATATTTGTCACCATTAAACACCATCCTATAAAAAACAGACGTAATGGCTTAAATTTTAGATTTCCAGTCTCAAATATACCTCCTATGAAGGTGTATGTCCATATCTGACACATCTCTCTCTCTCTCTGAGATACATACACCCACACATATATTTAAATTATTTGATGTATTTGGGTTAATATAGTATTATGTTAATAACATATATGTGTTATTATAATGTTAATACAATTATACACATAAATCTCATAGTATCTTTACACATACTCATTTTATTCCTCAGTGTATGTGTAATAGGTGAATATACACCTAAAACCAAAAAGATATAATCCATATAGGGATATTATTTCAACATGTATTTACATTTAGGTATACAGACTGCTGATAGAAACTTTTTACAGATTTGTTAAATATGTTGTAGCTTTGGAGCCAATCAAATTTTCTTCCACTTTATGTTTGATAGTAATACAAAAGTTGAGGAATTTCTCACAGTTTACATAGCTTAGGATGTGCTTTTGTGTAACCAAGTAATGTAATCCAATAAACAGTTATTTCATATCAATAGAAAGAAAACGTAAAAATTAATCTCTCTCATGCACACGTCTAGAAACCAGAACGTTACAGAAATCTAGCAATATCTGGTAACTCTACAGACATAAAGAGCTTACTTTCTTCCTTCTTGCTAATGATGGCTGGCAGTGTGTATATCTGGAAAAAAAAATGCAGTAGGTCAATGTTTGTGCTTTAAATTCTTTATTACCATAGTTCTTTAGCTAGCTGCAACACGCTGTGTATTAGCTTGCTGCTAGGGGAAAGCCAGCCTTGCCTTTCACCTTCTCTTGACACACAGCCCCACAGCACTCGCTGAGGTTAACAGCCCTGTGCTAGGACCTCAGCAGGTGGGGAGGGCAACAATCCCACGGCTTTGGTCGCATTTGCAGTTCTACACAGCTGATCTTCTTCACCTCTGGGGAGAGGGCAGAGGGCCAGCGGGATGTGTTCCAAAAACCTATTCAGGCCTTGAGATTCTAGATTAACTAGAGATTTAATAGCACTGAATTTATAGGTACCTAAAATGTGTTACAAGTCAGATTTGCAGACTCCAAATGAGTTAAATTTCAATCCAACTACTGGTTTAATTTCTGCACTGTTTCAGTCAAGCAAGAAGCTTGCGAAAGCACTCATCTTTCTCATGAAACCAATCAACCATTTTTGTCCCCTTGGATACAGGTCTGGCATCACCTTCATTCAGTGACTATTTTAAGAGCAGATTAGTAGTGGGAAGAAATGTTACACAAGCCTGTCTCTTAGTAGCTTTCAACACAATTTTATGCTCTTTGCAGCGCCTTTCAAGGTGGTGTTTATAGACGGTGCTGCCCGAAAGATGGTTTCTCTTTACCAGTGCAGAAATTACCACTTCACAAATTCTATCATCTCAACTCTGGATCCTGTAAGACAATATGCTATCATATTACTTAAACATTAAATATCCTAACAAAAAATAATAATCTATAAATGAAGGCTTAAATACATTAATAGTTCTGCTTCACTACATTGTACCTATCTTCAACATGTATTTGTGACAGTGTCTCACAAAGAACAGAAGAATTGTACTGTACTGACTGTAACAGATATTATATCTGAAATGTATACTAGCGCCTTCCTTTAACACGTGTGCCGCAAAACTGTAAAAAGAAAATGAAAAATAGCCTTACTGGTTCCTTTCCATCCATAGCTTCAAGCCAAAGTTTTCGGTTGGATTCTGAAAACGCTTGCAGTGTGATGATTCCGGGTCTGTCAAAAACATACACATACCCTGCAGTTATTAATTTTTTCTCAAACAGTATCCAAAGTCAGAATCCAAACACATACTGACATGAAGTGAATACATAAAAGACAGAGAGAAGGTAAAGAAAGTTGATGGCTTCTGCCAGTTTTATATACAAATGCCAAGCTGAGTATTTTGTTTGCTATCTACTATCACAAGTGTAAAAAGAATAATTGGGTGTAATCAGGTAATTCAAATTAAGGTAATCCAGATTAAGGCTTTTTAAAATTTTATTAAAGTCTGAGTTAATTTCCATTATAATATTCCATCTTGCTACCTACCAACAGATTCTTATCTAGGGATTTTTCTCTCAAAAACATTTTAGAAATAGAAACCAATTTTTTTCTTCTTTCTATTGAGACCATTGATTAACATTTCAGTTGGGAAATTGCACTTGAAGTCCCTTGGTCAGCATGTACAGAAAGAACAGAAATTTCTATGACTGCCATTTTACTTCAAGCTTAGAGATACCTACTTCTAGCTCTGGGTTTCTGATTTAATCTGTTGGCCAAGATTGCAGTCATTGTATAACATGTTTTAATACTCAAATATCTAACACGATAATCCCCAAATACTAGTGTCCTCAAAACAAAAAACAAACAAACAAAAAAACCCTCCAATACATTTTGAACTGACTTCCTCTCTAGTTACTGAAAAAGTTGGTAATTTCTCATAAATTAAAATTACATTCAAGGTAAAACATATACTTCTTTGATGTTCCCTTTTTATATAACTCCAATACAAATAAGATGGTGGTTAATCTCTAGAATAGTTTTCAAAAGAAGTCTGAGCTGAATGTAAGCGTGAAAAACACCTCAGTAAATTTTAAATGAATGGTGTCAATTAGAAGGGCTCATGGTGTGTGTTCTCCATTAGCAGTTCACAAGGGTTTCTTTCAGTTAATATGGTTCTTCCATGAAATGAGATGTGCACATCAGTCTGCATGATTTTCCAATGTTTTCATAAAATAATGTTTCATTTACTGTTTCATTCAATGTTTCATATAATAATACAAGGAAAGAATTAGCTCTCTGGAATAAGGTGTTTGGAGACAAGTTACCCATAAAATCTTACAACAGGATTTTGCAGACTTGTGTAGCTGCACAGTTCTAAAAACACTCTTGCATGATGAAAAGTCATACCCTCGTGTTATTACGGAAACTTACTGACGTCAATTACTTTTAAAGGTTTTCTGTATTTTGCTGGTGATGTCCAACTTTATACTCCAAGTATACAATATTGTCCTGAGTTTAAAATTTGTTCGAATGTAATCATTATCACAGTCTTTTTGAATCCTCAGCATTTCAATACTGTGTTTATATTTATATGAACCTGCTCACTTCCCAGTCATTACTGACATTAGTAACGGCCACTGCATCTTCGCTTCCTTAGAGGAAACCTGAGTTTTACCAACACGACATTCAGAAGAGATTAACGTAGCCCTTGCATATGAACTGCCACCACATATTTCCAGGTATTTCGTTGTCTGTTTATCTTTTCTGCTGACTTGTACAAAAATTCGTTACTTCCCTGCCAAATAT